TGCCAATGTGCCTCATCCCAGATATACAATTACTACAGTATTTATCTCCCCATCTATAACTTTGACTGGCAAACTTTTTTTTCTGTTCATTCATGCCCAATTCTCAGACTACCTGGGCAAGTTTCTGCAGTTTTCTTGGCAAGGTTCTTCAGAAGTGGTTTGCCATTGCCTCCTTCCTAGGGTTGAGACAAAGTGACTGGCTCAAGAACACCCAGGTGGCTTTGTGCCTAAGCCAAGACTAGAACTGATAGTCTCCTGTTCTAGCATGATGCTTTCATAATTAAAAGCCAAATCCAACACAAAGCAAGGTTTACAAGGAATAGGTAAAAGATATGTCAACTAAAGAACTTTTCATTAACTGAATGCCAATCCATATTGATAGCTTCAGTATTAGCACATTAATGTTCAAACTAGTGAATTACATTCTAACTTACAAGCTGTATGCATGCAACCTCTTTGCATGCAGCCTCTGGTTTGTTTAAATTTGGTCTGTCATGCGAACCCAGATTTTATAGTTCAATGAACCATGGTTAAGGTAACCAGAGATGTGAGTAAAGAATGAGCAGTGAATAGTGCTTAAATTACAGCGCAACCACCACACAACAGGGTAGGGCATTTGTCCGATGTATTCCAAGTAAGAAGGAAAATGTTATGAAATTGATGAATAATCATTTCCAATCCTTTCTAATCAAGCCAGACTACTGCTATTGTTTATTATTATGCTCTCATTAGTTTTTACTAATAACCATTTTTAAAAGGAGATTTGACCAAAGTTAACATGCAGGATAGCATTTGTCTCTTAGATGCCAGAAGACTCCTGGTGTTTATAGCTCAATCATTTTCATCCTTTATTACTACCGATCTTCGCCTGAAAACCGAAGGACTCGCCCTTCAATTTTAAACAACTCTTGTGAGAAAGGAGTTTTGACTCAAAGTCATCCAGGCAGCCCTCTACATACATACTGTACATACATACATACATACATACATACATAAACACATACATACACATACACACCTTGACCCATTCCCACAAACGGAGGTAAAAGTTGGATCCTGGATCCTCCCTCACCAGCCTTGGGCGAGGCTGATTGGCCGATGACCTTGA